GAACATAATGGCCACCCCCACTTCCAGACCCCAGAGGTCACCCTAACTCCTACAGTCCCACCAGGCTACAGTGGCCAACTCCTAAGGGTCCAGAAGGTCACCCCAGTGCCTGCACCCCAGCAGCCTGCGGTGGTCACCCCAGCTCCTAACGCCTTTGCAGAATTTGGTGGTCAACAGTACCCCGAGCCCTGCCAGACCATGGTGGTCACCCCAACTCCCACAGCTCCAGGAGATCACTGTGGCCACCTCTGGCCCCAGTAGCCCTCAGTGGTCACTCCATCATCCCTGGCCCCAGCAGCCCGAGTACCCCCGTGGTCCCCTCGTACCTCCGGTGGCCCCTGCAAAGCCCTCAAAGGCACACATGTGCTTCCCGAAGACAAAGTACCCCTGGGAGCTGGAGACGAAGACGGTGAAGATGCAGAAGACGCAGCACATGAGGCCGCTGACGGAGATGTTCACCAGGATGTAGTTGAGCGGCTGCCGCAGCTTCTTGTACTTGATGGTGACGATGAGGACAATGGCGTTCAGGGGGGTGCCCGCCACGAACACCAGCCCCATGAAGATGGTCTGCAGGTAGAAGGCCCACATGGGCGCAATGTGGTACTGGGGCCCATCCCAGGGCCCCACCGACGACTGGTTCTTGAACAGGTAGAACTCTTCCTCGTCCATGGTGGCGGTGGTGGGGGGGGGGACGCCCACCCCCCTGATATACCCTGCGCCCCCAAAGCTGCTTAGCGGGGATCAGGGCTCAGCCCGGCCAAACTTGGGGATTAGGGTGGGCTAAACCGGGCTCAGCGCCTAATCGGCCCCCTGAGCTGGGTCGAGCCGATTACCGGGGCTCTGGGGGATTTGGGGGGGGCAGAAGGGCTCCCCCCATCACCTGGGTATGGGGAGGGTCCCCAGAGGTCTCAAAGCTTGACCCTGCTCCTCCTGGGGTGTTCAGGTGTCCCCAGATGTTTCCAAGCCCAGTCTTGGTCACACGACAACAGCCAGAGGTCCCCAGACTTAGTCCTGGTCCCATCAGGGTCCTCAGTGTGCCCCAGGGGTCCCCAAGCTCTGTCCTGGTCCCCCCTGTATGACCAGGTGTCCCCAGGGGTCCCCACACGTCTCCAACCCGCTCCCCCAGGATGGCCCAG